GGAGGATGCAACTAAACGATCAAAGCAATTGCTCAATTACATTGTATTAGATATTATAAGTAATCTAGAGATGATTTAAAGTATACTGAAGTTATATGGTACAGTTCTAAGGAACCAGAACATCCATGGATTTTCTTATCCACAAGGGTCCTGGAACAAGACCCCATCCTATCACAGACCCCATGAATACAAAGGAATAACTGCCCAGAAGTCTCAGATCCAGCCTCAGGACTTGAGTTCAACTGAAACTGCTCTGTGGATACCCAACAACCTGCATAGAAGGCTATCTCAGTCATTCTGTAGGAGGCTCCTCTAAGTTCTATTTCTCTTCTTACTTGAATGGCCTCACCCTCTTTCATGGCTCTGTCCTTCCTGCATGGTAGCTCACGGATGGCTTGGGTTTCATTACATGCATCCATATCAACCAACCTGTAATGACTGCACCAGAATACAGCATTAGCAAGGATTCTGAAGTTAAACCTGTTTGATGAGAAAGAATAGTGTAGAATTGATTAGAATTGTCAGCCACTGGCACGAAAGGGCAAACCTACCTGACAGGTATTTGCCATCTCTTCACTAGGGTTAAGAACTTGTTTCCCTGACCTTACATCAATTATTTTTTTATTTTTAATCTACATTCAGTTCACATATTTCCTCTTTGGATGTGCAGTACCATTTTCCCTGATAAAAGTAGCACATTTAAAACTACACTTTTGCATTTTACCATAATTGTCCTCTTTGCCACTGAGTTCTGTGGAAATCTTGCTACTTTTGTTTTTCTTCCCACATGCTTGTTAGGGAAAATGGGATCATATCTTCTTAGAGCTAGTTATTAGAAATTTGTTCACTCACCAATAAGTCTTTTGTGAAAGACAGATGAGGCTTTCTGCTCCCGCAAAAGATTTAAGGCCTCTGAAACCCTATAAAGTGTCGCTATGAGTTGAAACCAATTTCATGGCACTTAACAATAATATAAGTCTTTGTTGTCAGTTGCCATCGAGTCAGTACTGATTCATAGTGACCCTATGCACAGCGGAACGAAACACTGCCCGTTCCTGGGCCAACCTCACTATCGTTTCCACGCTTGAGTCCATCAGTGCTGCCACTTGGCCAATCCATCACATTGGGGGTCTTCCTCTTTTTCTCTGACCCTCCACCTTACCAAACATGATATTCTTCTCCAGCAACTAGTCACTCCTGACAATGTGTCCAAATTATGAGAGACAAAGTTTGGCCATCTTGGCCTCCAAGGAGCACTCTGGCTGCACTTCTTCCAAAACGGATCTATTGGTTCTTTTGGCAGCCCATGG